TGCTTAACTCAAGCTGAACAGCTCATTTGACTCTCTTAGGTGCAAATGTAATGATAACATGCATGCTGGAATAGGGCCTGAAGTCTACGTTTCTGTGTATCCATGTTTTGTAACTCCCCGTTTTATTTTGATAGCATCTTGTCTCATGTGCGCTATATTTCGTTTTCCTTCCACTGTCTTGTCTTACCTTATTGGTTTCATCTGTGTCCCCTGGCGTTGCCTGGTCTTTTCCCGATTGCCATGTGTGTATTTTGGCTGTAGCCTCTGTCTCTGCTCAGTTCTCTGTGGCGTTTGTCCGCACTTGTTGTACCTTGTGAATTTTTTGTTTATTTTTTTGCGGTTTAAATTGACTTTTGTTACCGGCTGTCCTTTGGATTATCTGCTCTCCGAAATAAAGGTTCGTTTTTTTGCTTATTTTACTCTGTTTCACTATTTTACTGATTTTTTAGTCTGTTTTGGGGCCACGTTCTTCCACAACACAATAGACTTGCAAGGTTCTTGTGCATGCTCTCAGCATATAGCTCTGCACACCTGCGCACATATCTAAAGACGGGTTGTGTAGTTGTGGTAAGTTTGTTGCAGCTGTTTGAAATCTCTTTTGTCCCTGGAGCAGAGACGGTACATAATTTTGTTTCACGCTGTAAGGTTTCACTGAACCCGATGCTATAATGCCAGTTCAACATACAGGATAGTTTTCCATTACCTGGATTGACTTTCCCTGACATTGGAAATTGGGATGAGCAGTTACACGAAGCTGGTTATCAGTTCGCCAAATTAACCCAGAGTGTCTCCTGCGCGTTCACATGAAATGGTGTTGTTGGCAGTATCTGACCAATCTGAAATGGCTGTTTCACAGATCATAAGTATTTTTCGCCCCACAGTAAACAATTTCTGTGAGTGATGGTGATTAAAATTTAAGAAAATAATAAATAAATAATAAATATTTAGTAAAATATAACGCTGTAAAAAGGACAAAAGATGAATTCTGCGTCAAACTGTTAATCTGGTGATTTAGGGCACAAAAATAAACATTTTAATGCAGTTAATTCTTATTATTGTCACTGAGTGCGTGCTCAGTGCTGCTTTTTCCCCTAAGGCGATGTCTGCACATTAGAGCTCTGTAACTTTAAACTGGCATTTAAACATTTAAGCCTACTCTACTTAAATGTTTAAATGGACTGTGCCAAAGTCTAATAACGCAAAACGCTTTAATTTGTCGCAGATCAGATTGAAATATATTTTATTGGTTGGACAGGTGTTCTTAGTGCTGTTCTGCAATCCCAGTAGAAAGAAAGAAAAACAATGAATACATGCACATTCCCGTGGTAATTCGACACGCAGTTTGCAGCTCATTTGGTGGTTTGAGTATGGTACGGCTTAACAAGCTGCACAACACATTCTCCTTGCAGAGTGGCGCACTTTAAAAAAACGAAGTGAAGATCCAACCGATTTAAAACCGAAACTCTCGTATTGTTCTGCGATACTACAATCTACCCAATACCAAGTAAATACAAGTATTGCCAGTACTGCCGATACGTTTAACTTATAAAGGCAGAGTGTAGAGAGAGTTCATCAATTTGCTAAATTCTGAATTTTAATGAACACTGAATCACTGTGATTTTTACTTTCCGCAATAATCCGTGAACACAACAAGACACACCTTTCAGCTTTTTCATGTATTTTGAAACACTTTGTTGTTCTTGGGTTTTATTGGAGACCTGGACAGTAAATGTGTCTGGCTTTAAAGCACTTTGGGTCAGTTTATGTTGTTTAAATGTGTTCCATGATAAAATAACCTAACAGTCAACACAAAAAGGTGCGCATATTCACATTAACATTTTTCATAGTTCATGTTAAAGGTATATTATTTCATTTCCAATAAAATAATGTTTTCAACACAAATAGCCGGGCTGAATATATTATCTGAATACAGTCTATAAGTAATCATATTACTTTAGCAGGCATTGGACTGCTAAAGTAACAGCTATGATAACGAATAACAATTTAATCCTTTTTACTGTAGATCCAGCATCAGTCATGGCTGAAACATTACTGTAGCAGGCTTTATGTCGCTGGTTCACCCAACACAACACAGAGGTGTTCAGTTTGTAGCAAATCCATTTTAATATTCCTTCAAATTTAAGCCATCACTTCACTTCACTCACACACACACACACACACACACACACATCATCTTGGTCCTGATATTCTGATGTTTTAAATTACAGGGGAGGCAGGCAAGATTAGCCAAATAACCCCTGCGTTAACCAGCCTCCCCCCACCACTGCCCCTGAACCGACTATACCCCCCACTGCCACAGTTACCTTTATATGAACTACCTGGTTATAATTTCCCTCTCCAAAAAAAAAAACAAAACAGTGGGTTCTGTCTCTGTGCGAGGGATCTGGGTCTGTCTTAACAATTTCCTTCATCCTCTCTTCATTTCTTTTGCTGCTTTTCTAGGACAAAGTTGTGTTGTTCATGGTCTTTCATATCTTTATATAAGTTTGTAGGATTAACAAAGTAGAAAACTTCCTTCTAGCAGGCATCATTGTTTGTAGTGTTTCGATTTACAGCTGTAAAGTAGCTCCATATATTGTTCCAATTTCTCACTTACTGCAGCTTGCATGGTTTTGCTTAGTGCATCTGAGTCATATGACTGTAGGACAACTAAACACAACTGAGCAGGGAGGAGGGAGCGGACAAGAGTGTGCCTGCATGAGAGGGAAGCAGTTTGCACAGACATGTCTCCTTTTTGATGATCAGTAGCAACATACTGAACTTATATAAGAAAAACAAACTAACGCATTGAGCCGATCACACTAGTAACAATTCAATGTCAGTACCAGCATTAAATCGATACTATCGATATTTGGATTGATCCACCCATCCCTACTGAACAGAACAATTTCAGTTTTGCAAAACCAACAACCTGCGGACGTAGAACTGTAGAAAAACAACATTTGTTTTGATTCTTGGCAGAACCATTCAGGTATCTTTTTTTTGCACTTTAAAAGTGCAAAGACATATGCAGAGGACCATGGATATGGTCCTCTGCATATGTCTTATTTAGTGAGTCAAAAATGCACAACAGTGGTGGTACAGATTAAAAGTTAACAATTGTGCTGCTCTGACTTTCAGTGTGGGAAATCTGAGTTGAGAGGGTATTCTAGAAATTCTGACTTCTGATTTATTGAGGAACACAGCAGCAGCCACTCACACAAAGAAGCAATTCATATGTTAAACTCAGTTTAACACAGTAAACTGAACATGTCCATCACTACTGTGAAAGCGATCAGGACTCTTCTTTTGGGCTCTGCCCTCCAGACCGTCAAAAGGTATTTGTTTCAAGAACTGATCTAAGAGTTACTTGTAAGAGCGTGAGACTGCTACAATGTCTGCAAAACAGACATCCGCACATGTGTGATGGCTTCTTTGTGTATGAGGCTGCAGGTGTCTGTGAGTTGTTGAATTTAAGTGAGTGGAACTTACCGTTATAAGTATACCATTGAAATATATAATACCATACATACATACATACATACCATACATAATACCATTGGAAAAAATGGTTTGGTTGTGATTATCTTTTTTTGTCCTACTCCTACTCTCCATGCAGTGGTCTAGTAGATCTTTAAGAATGTTTATTTCTGAAGAATTGAGTGGTCAGTAGGTATGACCTGTTTCTAGTCTGTCTTTAATCTGGAGCCTAACCTGCTCCAGATCAGGTTATGTTCATAGCGTAAATTACCATGTCAATTTACCCCAGTAAGAAATGAACAACAATGAGCATTTATCAAATTTGAGGATAAAAAGTTAAAATTTTATTCATTAAAATGAATGGAGACAGATATAATATTGACAATTAGTCACCACATGTGATGTCCCAGAGCCAAAACCTATGATACTGCAATATATCATTTTTGTTTTATTACACAAATAAAAGTTTGTGCAATTTTTAGCCCTGTTTGCTGGTTATTGCACAGAATAACCACACACACATATTTAGACAATTAGCCACAACATTAAACATAATATTTACATTGCTAGCTTCAAACAAAAAAGAATGCCGGCCGGCATTATAATATGTTAATAGTATCCTAATGTAAGTATAAACCAATATTACCTTATTATTGTGGGCTACTACCATAAGTCAGTATACAAAAGTTCTAATGCACAGATTTGACCATTTTGGTAAAATCTGGTTGTCATATTGTCGCCTATATATTGCTAAACTATTAGTAATGGGTTTTGCTTCATAGGCAAGATTTTTTTTCCACATTATCGTCTCCAGTTTCTGGTCAGCTGCATAAAGTTCCGTGTAATATTTCTTAGCTGTTAGCTATAACCTCTGTTGATGTAGAAGAACTACTTTGGTAGTATTTGAATATTGTAGTTGAATATTTTTGTAATTAAGTGTTCAGTCACTGTAATAAAATATTAAGCTCAACAGTGTTCAACACTGCACTGAGGTCTAGCAGAGTAAGCACAGAGTGCTTGGTCACTGACAAAGGACCTCACCAATACCACATTATTACCGAGCTGTAATAGAAAGTGGTACCAATATTTTTTTGTTCCTTTTGACTGAGGTATGCAAGACTCAGTCAGATCAGTGACAGGTAAAATAAAGAGAATTGATAACCGCTGTTGTGATACCCAGACAAAACCTGTTTGCAAAACTTTGCAGCTCTTGTTACTTTTGCTATGTAACACTTTTTGGCCTACAGTTAAACTGATTGACTGAAACTCAATTATATCCTTATCTACTACATTTTGTCTGTTTTGTCTTTGACTTCAGCCATGCGCTCCAGTCCAACCCCACCTCCTCTTTACCTGAGCCTCCTTCTCTTTCTCTCATGGAACTCCCCGGTTCTTTCCTGCAAGGCTGTAAACAACAGCAAGTGTGAGTCTGCTCCATTTGTACCAGGCCACAACCTGATTGGGGAGGGATTTGATGTCATCACCCTGCGCCGAAAAGGAGCCTACTTGATTGATGTAGCTACTTACCGCAAACCAGATGGTACCTGTACTCTCTGCACCAACCGCAATCAAAACAAAACTCTACAAAAAGTAAATAAATAAACAGTGATTACCATCAAACTATAGTAGACAGGTTATGTGCACATCTTAATCATGTTTTTTTTATGTTTTTTTTATCTTCAGCTGCCGGCCTCTGTTGTCGACTGGCGTGCAATCAGCCAATGCAAAACCGATATCTCCAGCAGTGCACACACCACTGTTAGGTACAGTATAGTGTAGTATATTCATTGCTGAAAGGACTTCATCACAGAGATCATTTTCATCTCATTACTTCACCTAGCCTGTCACAATACCAGTTAGCCATGACAGACACATATTTTTCTTAGATGCCTGGTTGGCACTTTGTCTCTCTGCATTAAAAGGAAACACCAACAAAATGAAAGACTATTAACTTCTTTGTGAGTAAACTTTAATATTCAAAAAAGGATCAAATGATATGTCCTCCACTGTAGAATAAAACAATAAAGATGGGTGAATTCTTGTTCTTGTGTTGACATCAACATTTTGAAATCTCATAGCAGTAGAAACAAAATAACTTCTAATGTGTTCTGTTCTACTGGACAGATTCCCAGTGAATCCACAGTCCTGCCCATTAATAAGCCAGCCTTCTTCAGTAATATGTGCAGCCACATACTATTCTTGCTCACCATACTGCATTCCCATCACAGTGTAAAAAGGGGAGGGCAGTAAAATAGGGGATACTGGCAACAACAGTCTGATCGAATAGAAACAGCATCTCACTACATACACTGAATTTATATTTATTTGCTGGGGCACACTACAGAAACTCTCTAAATCCTTTAGGTTTCTTGGCTGTCATTTGGCAACTCCAAGATTCAGCTCCCTCCACATTTTCTACAGGACTGAGGTCTGGAGATTGGCTTGGCCATCACCTTAATGCTTCTTTTGCATGTTGGAAGACCCATCCATGACAAGCATTAAGTGTTGTGGCTGACAGAAAAGGGTTCTCGACTGAGATTTTATGGTAAATAAAATACATTGGCCCCTAAATTTGGTGAAGTCACCATTTAGCAACAAAACAGCACCAAAACATAATGGTTCCCCTCCGTGCTTGACTGTAAAAATGTTTAAAGAAATGAAACAAGTAAATAAAAAGTAATTCTTCTTCTTCAAATTGTGTCCACAGTTCACTACTTCACTCTTATACTGATCAGGACATCCACGACTGGAAGGTAGGAAACATCTTGCACTTACCGTTTGTTTCAAAATTACTGTTTGAAACTAGAAAATACTGTTATTGTAATTACTTGTTATTAAAACTAATAGAAATGCAAAATTTGTAAGCAACATTGCATGCTGATTCGTTACTTTGTTTTTTCTTTTACAAGTGAAATTGTGCACTGAATCAAACAGTTTGCAATAACATAAAAACCTTAGTGTGCGAGTTCTCATCAAAAGGGCTGATTTGATTAGATTTTGGCTCTCTGAGCTGTGTAAAGGTGATACAAATATGAATTCCTTGTCTCATTATTTAATTTAATATTTCCGATTTAATATTTTTGATCCACAGAAAAAAACTAATTGAGTGAATGAATAATAAGACAGTATTTATTATATCTAATACTTTTATCTATTACTTTTAAATTACATTGACTATTATAAAAAACAAAAAATGGTAATGAAATTACATTTCGATTTATCAGGCTGGACTAAATATAAAGGCCATATCTACCAGCGTGGGGATTGGAGGAACACACTCCATGGCATATGCATTTGCTACAAAAAAGACCAAAGAGGACCACTACTCCTTCAGCACACACACGGTCACCTGTACTCATTATCGGTTAGCTGTGAAAATCCTGGCATTACCACATATACCACAAGTTTAGATTAACAATATATAATTTCAGTTTTTAATAATTTACTAATCAGTTTCTTTCTGTCTAGTTACCGGGTATCAAGCAGACCGACTCTTAGCTCTGAGTTCAGCAGGGATGTGGCCAGTTTGCCAAGTCGCTATAACTCCTCCACCAGAGATCAGTACAACGAGGTCATAGATACCTACGGCACACATTACATTCGCAAGGTTAAAACACAGAAACACTGCTAATTAGATTATTTCAGGAGTAAAAACAGGAGTAAAAACACTTTTTTATTAAAACTTTGTGCTACATTACAGGTTCGTCTTGGTGGCCGTCTTAGACGAGTCACAGCTGTACGAACCTGTTTGTCCAGACTAAACGGATTCTCCTCAAATGAGGTACATGAAAAACATTTGCCTGCACACAGTCACCAGACTGCATATTTCTGCTCCATATGAATAAGAACATAAGGGATGCTAAATAGTTGTGTTTTGTTTGGTTTTTTGGCAACAACTGAATAGTGACATCATTCTTATTACATTTGTATATGAATGCAAGGAGCTTATTCCCTTCCAAAAGATATTCTCTCAGTTGTTCTACTGACCAAAGTGAAAGAAACCATTGTACCTTATCTCTATAATTGGCTCACAGTCCATCAGGAGCTCTCTCTGCTGTCCTGAAAAACCTTTAGCTTCTGTCACTGCCATTTTCAACATCAACAACAACCATAAACACGACAGCTTTTAACACTTATTTTGCCAAAAGTGTTTGCTTGTCTGCCTTTACATGCATATCAACCTGAGTAACACCCCATACTTAATCCATAGGGTTCATTATGATGTCAGCTATAATAGCTTGAACTCTCCAGGTAAGGCTTTCCATAAGTTTTAGGAGTGTGTTCATGGGAATTTTTGATCATTCTTCAAGAAGCACATTTGTGAGGTCAGACACTGGTATTAGATGAGAACTCTCTGCTTTAATTCATTGCAAAGGTTCTGTCAGGTTGAGGTCAGGACTCTGTGTGAGCCTGTCAAGTTCCTCCACACCAAACTCACTCATCCATGTCTTTATGGATCTTGCTGTCTGCACTGGTACTCAGTTATTTTGAAACAGCAAGGGACCATTCCCAAACTGTTTCCACAAAGTTGGGAGTATGTCCAAAATACCTTAGTGTACTGAAGCATCAAGAGTTCCTTTCACTGGGACTAAGGGGCCGAGCCCAACTTCTGAAAAACAACCCCACACCATAATCCTCCCTCCACCAAACTTTCATGTCTTTCACAAATGTTTGTAGCATTCCTAGTTGCTTGATTTTATACACCTGTGATCACGGAAGTTATTGGAACACCTGAATTCAATGATTTGGATGGATTAGTGAATACTTTTGGAAATGTAGTGTATTTTAGCCACTTCTGCATGAGAACTGTCAGCAGCTGGTTCTGTGACCCAGCAGTTTCATTTGGTTTTCATCTCTTTTGTTATATTTTGAAGATAATGTGGAGGTTGGGATTATTATTAATTGGCTGTGAATTCTAGTTTAGTCTGTTTTACCCAGGCCTTCTGTGCTAGTTGTTTTGTATTTCTTGTCCACGTGTTTCATGTTGTAAAGCCTGGGTTGTCATGTGTATGTCTCGCTATGTTTCCTTTTTTTTATTCTGAAAGTCTCGTGTTTCTTTGTTCAATGTGCTTAGTTTTACTCTTCCCCTGTGATGTCGTTATGTTCCTTTGTGTCAGCTGTTTCCCCATGTGTTTCCACTTTCCCTGATCACCTCCTGTGTGTATTTAGTCTGTATGTTTCCTTCAGTCTTTGTCAGGTTGTTCTGTGTTCTTTCTTTTATGTCATGTCAAGTTTCAGGTAGTTCATGATTCATGTTTGTATTCATATTTTCCTGCATGCATCTGTTCTGATTCATGTTTTTGTCATAGTAATCATAGTTTAATTTCTCCAGTTTAGGTTCTAGTTTAGTTTTCGCCCCACTCGCCTTTGTTTTGTTTGTGTACTGTTCTTATCAGCCACAAGAAACGGCTCACTTTTTGTCCAAGTCACATTTCACGCTCCGTTTTAGTCTGCATTTGGATCCAGTGTTCTCTCTACACACAGTCAGCTCCCCACTGTCTTTGACAAGAACTTGCCTGACTAGTTCCTCCTTGTGGCAAAGACTTTGGAACCCACATCCAACCGACTGCTGTTTGAAAATTGCTGAATTTACTTACATTTGACATTTTCTTCATTGTTATCTCTCCTTTCTCTTTTTTTCCAAGTTTGTTTTTCAAATTTCTCAACTGCCAGTGGGCATGAATAGTGTAAATCAGGTGAATGGTGATTTCACTCTTGCCTCCTCCTAGCCGAAACAGGCATCAGGATCAGGTAAAAAGAGAGAGAGAGAGAGAGAAACACCTGATGACCTTTTAAAGACTTAATGAATTACAAATTGCTTCTGCTTTACTTCTTTTGGAATAATATGAAGGGTATGGATCAGTATCTGTATCTGTACACATCATTTACAAGAAATCATGTGATGGTTAGCATTGCCAAAACCTTTTACAATTTTCAACACTGAATGTATGTATAAGTAATTTGTTTAATCTGCATATTAACAAATATCAATAAAGTGCATTAACAAACAGAAAATACAAAAAGACAAAGACAAAGAAAAATAAGTTACCATACCAGGCACAGGGAAATTGACCACACTGTGTACCCTCTGGGAGGAAAGCCACAACTGGCCAATACTGCACAAAGGTCCAGTGACAGAAGCTCAGTTCAATTTGATTTATATAGCACAGCAAAAGTTGTCTTAAGGAACTGTGTTTATTGTAAGGTAAAGAACCTTCAATAATACAGAGAGAACCAGAACAATGAGACATGAATACCTTTTTTTGTTTAAACAAAGGTTTTTTTATTACATTTTAAATCGGGTCTACACCCTAGGATATTTTTAGGACATTTTCAATAACCCTTGAGTGACACACTTAGTTCACGAGTTCCATGACATGTAGGCCTAAAATCACAAGCGCTTCTCTTGGCATGTGTTCCTATTTAATGGAAATCCTGCATCTTATGTCTTCTCCTGCCTTCTAGTTACACTCCTGCCTGTCGATGGGTGTCTCCATTGGCTTGGGAAAGTTGAATCCATCTGCTGTCCAAGGTTCTTGCAAAAACATCCTGGAAAACTGGGATGTTGCCACTAGGTATAGCTCTGGTCTCCACCAACACTATACGGATGTGGTAGGAGGTAATGGGTGGTTGGGAGAGTTTTCACTTGCATATGATGACTCCCTGGGTTTTAAAAACTGGCTGAACAGCCTGAAGGATCATGCAGATGTTGCTTCCTACTTCATTCGCCCAATGTTTCAGCTGATACCGAAAGGCACAAAGAAGTCAGGGATGAAGGCTGCCATAGAGCAGTACTTAACAGACAGTGATGTGAGTCAATCACACAGCCAACGAAATTGTTGGCGGGGCAATCCTAATCTAGATTTCAACTGTTGTCCTCGACAAGCCTGGAGGGGGAAGCTAACTGTGGAAATCATCCGAGCCTGGAATCTGAAAGGAGATCATCTTGGCCCAACTGACAGGTGAGACGAGCATGGTTAGGGATTAGGATTTAGAGGTTTCTAAAGATTTCCAAATCTCTAGGATTTAGAGATTGAGAAATCTGCAATATTATTCATCTTTGTGTCTTTTTCCTACTCACAGCTATGTTAAACTCTGGTTCGGTTCCATCCATCATCAGACTCGCATGATCGAATCAAGTTATCCCCGATGGAATGCTTATTTTAATCTTGGACAGGTCAGTGAACCCTGACTACATATAAGATCAAGGACCATATTGAAGGAATTTTAATACTGCAGGTTTGATGTACTGACTTCAATTTTTAGAACTTGGGCTACTTACATCTTTTATATACAGTTAACTTTAGCTGTTCTTTGACTGAGGTTATTTATTTCCATTTGGTTAAGTTTAAGCAGAACTAATTCTTTCATCAGGTATATTTAAAAAATTTAAGGTAATGATTTCAGTTAATATGAATGCTTTAACAATGTCAACCATGTGTCATAAAGTACTGAATGCAAATCTTGCTACTGCACATTTCCCCCCTTATTTAAAATATGTAACAATATGACATATATATCAAAAACACTACAGTGCTACCAGAATTTACATTCTATGAATTAGATGTGAATTACCATTGTCACTATTGTATATGGTACAAAATCTCAAGCATATTATTTGTAGGACAACAGTATTTTTAATGCTTTTTTTCTCATGAAGGTGGACACACACAGTAATGTGTATGTTGAATTATGGGATGAGGATCTGTTCTATGATGATCTTCTGGGATCATGTTCCCGGCGTCCAACTCGGGGGACACGTATATTTTCCTGTTCAGCTGACAGTGGCGGCTATGAGTTCAAGACCATTCTGACCTGCGACTCACATCTCACAGGAGACTGGTGTCACCAATATACACCATCTCCATAATGAGAAATGCATTTTGGGGCTGCAT